CACACACATACACATACAGAGTGAGAAAGAGGGAGGGACACACACAAACACACACGCACGTACACACACACACACACACACACACAGACACACACACACACACACACACACACACACACACACACACACATACAGACATGCTCGCGAGCGTGCATTATCTCTTCTATGATTCTATGATATTTGTGAAAGTTCATCACTTTGGCCGCCTAAAACTTCCAAACCACTACAATGTATATGACAAAGTTAATGGTGGTTCAGTCATTTAAATCAGTGGCTTTCAAAGTGGGCACTACGGCAACTGTTCCTGGGGTGCTGTGGCGAAATTGGGCGATTTGGGGGCGCTGGTGTGCGCAAGGGGCTGTGGGAAATTTTGATGAACTGCCCCCCAAAAAATTTTTTTTTAATGGTGAAGGGGAAAGAAGCCAAATGCAAAAAACCCCCCCAACAAAAACTGATAACAGTTAAAGAAATGTTTAGCTTAGGCATAGTTTACAATACTACATACTACATATACTAAAAACTCTCTCCCTGCACGCAAAGCCCATAAAAAGAATGTACAAACATCTGGTATACTTCAATACTTTAAGGTCCCATGAGCTAGTTGCGCACGTTAAAGATCCCTTTGTGGTCTAAAATAGATAAGAGGAGGCATCGGCTGCCACTCGGGCAAAATTCTAAATTTCATACCAACTGAAAAGGGTGTGTCCTGTGCGCTCATATGACTTTATGCAGTTGTGAGCGTCGTAAAACGCTAAGCAGAAAAGAAAATAGTCTGTTCTTGCTTTAATACGTTAATGAATTTTAAAGAGATCGTAATGGGACCATATCTATTTCCCTCCTTTAGTGTGTTCTGTTTCCTGGGATGATTTTAATTATGGAGAAGGTAAAAGGGGGGCTGGTGGTTCCACTGGTGGTACATCTGTTAGAGTAGATTATCTCCGTGACAAATAAGATCGCCAGAAATATTATATAACAGAATAAGATGTGATTCATGTTTCTATCCTAAGGTCTCTTTGACATTAATTATACTAGCATCTGCGTTTGTCGTGGCCGATTTTTAGCATTTTTTGGTCCGCGAATCGCGGCCACGTTTTTTGCATTTTCAACAAAAAGAAAGCTAGATTACTTCATAGCACATTAGACATGTACATGTATTTTGATAATTTTAAGGTGTCCATCTATAGTTATTTTGCGAAGAATATAAGTAGGCCTCCTTTATTATTTATATTGCTGTTTGTCTTTTATTTTCCCCTCTTTGTTGTGTTTTAATTTGTTGCTGTGTTAATTTATTTTTGTTATTGTTCTGATATGTTGTTTTTCAATTTTTGCGCTTATCTAGCGTAATTTTATTTAATTTGATGTTGTTCCTACATTAAACAAATATATAAATGCGTTACGTTAGAGCGTGCCTCCACCAAAACCGAATACTGACACTGGCAGGCAGACCCCTTGTGAGTGATTCCATAATTTGCATGTAATATCCTGTACTTAAAAAAAAAATTACACACGTTTAGGGTTAAAACGCCCTTATTTATTAATCTTTGTTGTTGTTTATGTGTTGTTCCAATTTTGATTTCATTCTGTTGTGAAGCCTTTATTTTTAACGTTTTTACACTCTATGTGGCTACAGATAATACTCTGGATGCTTAAAACAGAACATATTGAAATCCTAGTGCTTTAGATAAAGTTACCTCCATCAACACATTGCTATAGATTTATATAGCCTGTACGCCGTCACAGAGAGTTGAACGCATGAAAATTAATGGCAACTTTTGCCATATCTATGGCAACTTTTAGACCAAAAAATGGCAACAAACGCAGATGCTAGACTATAAGTAAGTTTTAGACCTGCAAAACGATCATAACGAAGAAGAAAAAAAAATAGTTGATAAAACATCTCAGCCGGGATCCCAAATGTTCTATGGCCGACCGCCGTTCTGCGAGTCAAATTTAATAAAATAAGAGATCGGCATAGCCGTCGTCCAGTCGGACGTCGCAATGGCATGCGTTGAAGAGGTCCTTCCTGAGTTTGGTGCTGGACACACCGGGTGTGTAGGGGAGAAACTTGACTGTCATGAGAGACTCGCACAGCTTCCGGGCGGGAAAATCTGGCATGTCGTCTCCTCGAACGTAGATGGCAGAGCCTGTCATACTTCGGTCGAAGATGTTGTCGATGAAAGACGTCGGGTCGGTCCCCGCAACACAAAACACCTGCTTAGGAGACAGTGTGTGTGTGGGGGGGG